TATAGATGACAACCACGGACTATTCTAGACAGTCCAGTGGAACACTAGCAGGCTCGCAACCTGTAGGTGTTGTGAACGATGTGTTCACCGGTGTACTCTAAAAACCCATTGACATGCATTGCGAGCGGATTCTCGAAAACGATACTGTCGATAAACGAGATAACCCTGGCAGCTGCACCTAAAGGACAATACCGATAGATGCGCCTCGTAGAGAATGTCACAATTTTGGCAGATGCGCCTAAGTGATAGAACTAGCAGCTGTGCTTGATAGATGTGTCATTGACAACGATGAAATTCGTACCTATTCCTTAGGATAATCCTTAGGAATGAATGAACAAGAAATAGCTAATTCTTAGGGTAGATCCTTAAGAATAAAGAAGATAATGGGGATGGGTAATTGGGTTAACTGTTTGATGATTAAACATAATAATTATATTATTGTGGGTTGAAAACCCTATGTACTCACCAGGTTTCCCAACCTGACCCACTCAGTTTATTTGTATCACAGTTGTCGATATGAATTTACATTACACTGAGAGATTAAGGAGATATAAATCACTAGTGATAATGAATGTAAGTTCTGTTTATGCTTATGTTTCTGTATTGACGATGACATCCCAAATGTTTTAAAATGAATAAAAATACATTTATTCAGAAATGCTTTAATAACGTATTTATCATGTTTTACTGTGAACAAATTCCGCAACATTTTTATTAAAAAAAAGTACTCTGATTTTTATAAAGCATAAACAAAATCGGTCTTTTATGGCCGTGAAAATGGGGATGTTACACCCCGCGTACAACCACTTTTGCCAACTTTTTCTATTAGGGACCAAATGCGACACTTTTGATAAAGATTCAAAGAATGATAAAATGTACCTTATTTCCGGATGTTGCATAGAAAAAACATGAATTAGGAAAAAAAATAAAGGACAAACAACTAAAACTACAAAGAGAGATAGATATGTTTGGTGGTCGTGACCCGATGAAAGTCTCTGCAATGTTTGTGATCCTTTGGTATGAGCTTATGAATGCATGACCAAAGTGGTTCGTGATCCTTTGGTTGGTGCTCATGAATGCATGACCAAACATTGTGTGTAACACCACTTCTAGTCCATTCGATCCAATTTCTAGACTAATGTCAGTTATAAATTTTGCATTTCTTTCTTAGCGTCTAGGACATTAATGAGATTTTTTTACTCCTTTACTATGAATCATAGTAGTTGTACTAGTAAGAGCATCTCCAGTGAGAACTCGTTTTCAGAAGTGAAATATTAATAATCAATCTAAAAATTTAGCTTTTTATCATTAAATTGAATTGCTTTTTTGGTTAATAATACAAAAAAGTTTTTTTTTTCTTATTTTGAAAGAGATTATTGAGATTTAATCAGAGGAATAATGCAACATCCGGATTCTTGGAGGTACTTAGTTCTAATATATTTCAACTTTGGAGGTGAACACGTCGTGGTGAAGGCATCCCACGACGTGGCAATACGAGAAGATTCACGGATCATTTAATGATCCCCACGACATGACATCTATTGGCCACGATGTGGCGACCTTGTGTCATGATAACCCTAATTTTTTTGGGTATTTAAAGGAAAATGGGGAGGCTAGGGTTGCCCATCTTCAGCCTCCATCACACTCAACCCAGAGACCCTAACCCTAACCCTAACCCTCCTTGGTGCTCTTGTGCTCATTTTAGTAAACTTGTGGTGGTTTTGAAGGTAGAAGAAGAATTAGTGCTTGGTTCAGTATGTAATTCTTTCCTCTATGTGTGTGCATCTTCAGGACTCCTTGTAAATCCTTAAGCTTCAACCTTTTGGTGTTCTTCTTCATAAATCTGGGTTTTGGAGCATGTTTGGTCCTTTTTTTGGAGTCGCCTGAGTGATATTAAGAGATAAAGTATGCAACTTCATGGTTTCTCTATGTCGCTTGAATGTCATATCTTATAGATCTGTAATTTTGTAGTAAGATGAGATCCATGCATGGATTTTGGGTCATTTTGTTCCTTTTTGACCTAGTTTGAAGAAGGACATGCATAGGTCATGCATGCCTATAAAGTTTGGATTTTTATGCACCATTAGGAGTCCTAGAAGCATTCTGGAGAAGTTGGACTAAGGACTTTCGGGATTAAGTGCTTAATGGTTGAGTCCTTGCCATTTTTAGCCTTTCGGACAAAAGACTTGTGATCTAGACCTCTTGGCGGGTCTCAAGGGATAAAGGTGGAAAATTTATCCATTTGGACAGTAGGAATGATCATATCTGGACCTTGGAACCTTTGGAATTGGAGTATTCGGCTTAACCTATTAAGACATTTTGAACCTAGTACCCACGGTGTGGCCTAGGTTTCCACGACGTGGCGATTGGGGGAAAGTGCATCTGTTTTTTAGTTTGAAGGCCTCGACGTGGAGGGTTAACCTTGACCGTTGACTTTTTCTTTTGACTTGTGTTGACTTTTTGGTCAAACGCCTAGTTTTGGATAGGAAACTAAGGTTACTTTGAATGGCTGTATATGTGGTTTGTAGCATCTGTACTCGCGTCAGTAGGAGCAGTAGTAGTTGATCATCGATTGCTAGGTGAATCTCTTCTCTATACATGTGGGTAAAAGACACCAATGTAAGCCCACTGGATTATGTTTGTAGGATGATAGTTGTCTTTATGACACTTGCTGATATGTCTGTATGTGCTCGTTGTCTTTGTGACTCTTATTGATATGATTATATGCTTAGCTGTAGGGGTGAAATAGACCCAGTACCTGTTGAAAGAGACCGAAAGGGGTGAAATAGACCCAATACCAGTTGAAAGATACTGAAGGGGGGTGAAATAGACCCAATATCGGTTGAAAGATATCAAAGGGGGTGAAATAGACTCAATTTAGTTTTGAACTGTTATGTATGCATGGTATGTGGTATTCTGCGGAAACTCACTAAGTTTTGTGCTTATAGTGTTATGTTTATGGTATCAGGTACTTCCAGTTTGAAAGGGAAGAGTCCGGCATGATCGCACTGCATCCACCAACATTTCGTATTTTATGACATGATTTGTACTCTAATAACTATTTTATACATCATCATGTTTTGATGGGTTTTTGAAACGAATGAATGATGCTTCTGTTGGTTTTAAAATGAAATTTCACTTAGTAATTTTTGGGACATTACAAATAATTATACCAAAAAAGTTAGATTCTACTAAATGTTTTTTTTGATGTTTTTTTTGACCGCTAAAACCCACTTTGATTAATAGGAATATTGACTTTTTTGAACATGGAAGTCTTAAAATTGTCATCATTTGGCCACTAAAAGTTATAATTGTCGTCACAATCTAACAATTGAGACATGCTATAACAAATTTATAGGTTTCTCCGTTTATGTGGCATGTCACATAAACAATTTTGACCCACCATTAACCACATGATGCTACATAACCACATGACGTGCGTCCACGTTGATTTTTAGATTTTTTTAAACATTTACACTATGTGTGTCTACTTCCCTCCCCCTCCTTCCTCTCTCTTTCTCTCATGAGTTACAACCTCCACAATTAATACTTAACGGAAGGTGCAAAAGAGATGAAAAAATATATTCTTTATATTAGAAATTGCTCAAATTACTATCTTTTTGACTTGTATCAACATTATGTAATGGAGTAGTGACGATCCACATAAAATGTAAGTGAATGATACAAAAACAAGTTGAGATCAATTAGAGTTTATGACAAATAGTTATCCCGGTTCAAACACTCAATCCTAAAGCAAACCATGTAAATATAACTTACTTTCAAAATTCCTAACTTAAAAACACAGTGTGATAAAAAAGGAATATCAATCAATTCAAAACACTAAATTGATCCATCGAGAGGGATTTTAAAATCGCCTTCACCAATCTCTTTTTATATATCATTTGGATCCTGTTCATGAACGGTACATCCACTCGAAATGCAAGTTTTGAGGAATTCTTTCACTGTCCATGTCAACTTCATTGTCATTGACCTCAATCTCATTACTTTCGCAATCTCAATGACATTGTCTAGGGATATGTCGCCATAATGCTTGATGTTTTTCACATTCTTACGGTCACATTCCGACTCGTTCAAGGTTATGATGACTAAAGCGGTGGTGGAGGGGACAACAAAAACTTTAGCCTTGCGATTTCGAATAATGAGATTGCGTTAGCAAACCCTCAAATCCTTGGTTGCTTCTTTGGATATGTCTTCTCTGATATTCTCACGGGAGAGACCTAGTGGTCCGATTTTGGGGGCGAGTGAAGAAGCTGCACCGATATTAAAAATCGATGTAGATGCCACATCAACGCCACATGGATAAGGGTGAGTCAATCTGTCGATGTTGCATGCCACATAAACATGAAAACTTATAAAACTACTATAGAATATTTCAATATTTAAATGATAACAAAATTGAAAGTTAAAGATTTAATTAGGACGAGTAAAATTTTAATGGTAAAATAATAACAATACTCCTAATTAACTTTAATGGTAAAATTCATACTTTCATAGTAAAAAAATAATACTCCTAATTAACAATGTTTCATTTTACCTTTATTTTATTTAACCTTCAAAATATTATTATTTTAACTGTTTAGTTTTTATCATTTGAATTTTTAGTATTAAATGTTAAATTCGTAAATGATCGTATGATAAAAAAAAATTGTATGAAAATAAGTATAATATAACCGATAAACAACTTATGTATTATCAAATATTTTTAGTTTGCTTAATACTTTTATATAAATAAAATTTTATATAAATTAAAACTATGATTTTTAGTTTAAACACCAACAACCAACTGAACACATGTCAACAAAAACTTTAGCTTTTCTTATAAATTAAAATATAATCAACCAACTTGTATTAGGATCGATGTTTTGTGTAAATTTTGTTGTTGTATTAGGATCGATGTTTTGTATATATTTTGTTGTGTAATTTTGTAATTGGAGTTAGAGATGATATATGCGTACAAATCAGCAATCGGAGTTGCAAGAATGAAGAAACCGAGTAAAAAAAAAGCCTGTCTATTCAACATTCTCTCCACTCCCTTTAATCTTTCATTGGGACCCTCATTGTCTTTATCTGCTTCTTCACTGGCCTCTTTATTACATCTTCTCCCCCCATCATCCATTTCACTCACTCCGTCCCTTTCAACCCGCCGGCATCTCCTCTCCTCCGACATGGATAAAGAAAACCTCGCTTTTCCCCATCACTTCGCCTCTCCGTACTCCACCGAGTCTGAAAGCGACGATGAAGATGTCGTCGCCTTAACCCGTCGCTTCTCTCGATCTGCCTCCTTTACAGAACCCCTTTACAATAATCTCAAGGTTTGTAACTTGTAAGTACTAGTGGTGTAAAGATGGTGCGTAACATAACCAGTATTTTATTTTTCTGATTTGTTTTTTTGATGGATTTTAGGAGAAGAGGGTTTTCTCTGGCTCGCCGGAATCCACTCTTGGATGGTTGGGTTCTGTTCATTCTCAGGCACCTTCGCTACCACAGTTTGTGAGAAGTGATGAAGATGCTTGGAATATGATCTATGCTGCTGCGGGTCAAGTTGCACGAATGAAGATGAGAATGAGCTTGAGCAACAGAGGTTTACCTGGAGTTGTTCCTTACTGTGACGGAGAAGAGTTTTTCCGGCATCAGCAAAGTTGTCGGAACAGATGTGTTTCGGGAAGCGAAAGCGTCGGAGGTGGATGTGGTGGTCGACCACCGAGTTTTCCTCAGACTGCATGGCCTCCGCCCCAACAACGCCTCCAACATCGTTCAAATCAACAAAAACCATGCAATGCGCCGGTCATGAAAGGAGTTGTTATCGGTGGATCTGGGGGCGGTTGTGACGGTGGTGGTGCTACGGCGGCGAAGAGGGAATGTCCCGGAACTGGTGTGTTTTTGCCCCGCAGATACTGTAATAACCCACCTGAATCTCGAAAAAGACAAGGTAAATTTGTCGTATTCATCTTCGCGTCAGAAATTGCAGAGTCAAACTGATTATGTATTCAAAATTTCTTCATAATTCCAGATCTTTGGTTGTTTCTATTCGATCGAAACTAATCACACAATTAATTAATTTTACAAATATTCCTTTAATCGATTCTTCTTGCAGCATGTTCACCTGCTAATCTGCCAGCTAAAACGATTCAATATTCCAATAACACCCTTGTCCCCATTACCGGGCAGCCTCAAACTCAAGCACGCATCAATGTCGGCCTCGTTCCTCATTATGGTAAACTAATCCCACCAGATCTTATTCTCCCAACATTAGAATTTATATTATTAATGTAAGATTCTTCACAAAAACATGATTAATTTTCAGAAATGTTAATGGGTCGGAGGAATGCCATGAGTCTAGCTGCTCAGCAGCTGCGAAGCAACATCCATGGCCACGGCGGCGTAATGGACTCACCGGTGAATAACCCGGAAATGCTCCTCCCTCAAGAATGGACCTACTGAAACTCCGTTTTTTGGAGAGTAGATAGAAGAAAAGGTCTATAAGTATAAGTAGTAGTGGTGGAGATATGATTTTGTTTGATGTTGATTATCTAAGTACAGTGATGAAAATAAATGAGAAGGGTATCCGAAGACTTTTTAGGATTTTTTGTTGGAGAATTTGAAAATTCCATTTGTTTCGAGATTTTAATAGATATGAATATATAACGACCAGTATTTTATACATAAAAAGTTTACCTTATGTTCAAAAAGCCAAAAGGGCCGGTTAAATAAAAGGTATAATGGTAAAAAATAAAAACAAATAAAAAGGGCTAAATGCAGAAAAATCCAACTATTTATATATTTTGTTTATATTAGAAAAATCATTATATTTTTATTTACTTTTCAGATTTATCTTATTTTTTTTATATATATAGAAAAACCATTATATTTTTATTTATCTTTCAGATTTATCTAAATATTTTTTTAAGAAGTCAGTTGTTTTGTGTCATAGCTATCTTGTTTTTTTAGGTTGACATAGAAAAAAATAAATAAGTGATGTCATTTATTTTTGGTTGAATAAATGGTCTTGAGCAAATGACTAAATGGTATATTTGTAACGTTTTAAAAACCATAGTAAACACTTTTTATTTTAAAAAAAAATAAAAGTTGTTCGCCATAAAACCAAAAGTCCTCCGAACAATTCTTTCACCACATGACATAAAATCAGCTTTCGTCTTGTCCCCGATTCTCAGAAGTAGCTGAAACATTTAAATACATAATTGTAAGTCAAAGCTTAATAAGTTTCCCAAAATACCACACAACAATATACATACAATGCATGCACCCAATGCCTACATCAGACAATTGGATCGCCACCGAGGCCTTCAACACAAAGTTGGATCGCCCTCTTGGCCTTTAGTACAAAATCGGTCCGCCTTCCGGAGCCTACAATATCAAGTTGGACTGCTCCCCTTGGGCCTATAATAGTGAACTGGACTGCTCGGGTCTCTTGGCCAACAACACACAACTGGACTGCCTCAACCCAACCATAATATGTCGACATGCAAATAATAATAACAAGAAAACACATATAATCATATCAGATCTACCAGTCTAATAGATTACTACAACATATCAACATCCAAACATACAAATGATATATATTGTAGTATAAAATATAGTGAGAAAACTCATTTCACAGACGAAACAGAAATCCCTACAACCCGTCACACGCAATAAACCCATACCACACCTACCTAGCCAAATAACGATAAATAATCAATCTAAGACCTAAATCCTAAAGTTTGACCTCAAGTCAAACTTGGTCAAAAAGTCAACAGTCAAAAGTCAACAGTCGAGTCACCATGCCGTGGCCAACGCCATGACCGCGTTGTGGTGGCTAAACGCCAAAACAGTCGCGAACTCCCTCGTCACCACGCCGTGGCAGCAACATTGCCACGTCGTAGAATAAAACCTAACTAGCTTAATTCATTAAGCTCTTAATCCTTATTTTCAGATCTCCAAAGCTCAGATCTGGATCGATTAAGGCCATACATGGATTAAGTTTCCAACTTTATCTCTTCTCTAACCTCAAGAAGCCTAGATCTAAAACCCTAACTCAAAAATGGACCAAATGACCTAGAAAACTCATACATGGTTGATTTATGATCAAGATACAAACTTAATGGGATCATAAGGTCCAAGAACTAGCATAAATCTTATCCAAGGTCATGGAGTTACTTCAAACTCCAAGTATTCATTTTCAAAAGCCAAAAATGGACTTAATCACATCATAAGCAACCCATATAATGGAACGTGTGAATTTTATACCTTATGGAGCCTAAGGATAGATGTAGAAGTAACCCTTAACAACAACAAGTCACACCACAAGCTTGAATCACCCTCACCTTCTTCAATGAACCTTGAAAGGCCAAGAACACACATTTTTTCACCAAGAACACACACACACACACACTAAGGTATCTCTTAAAGGGATGAAAGCTGGAGTTGAGAGCAAACCCTAGCCATGAAGTTGTTTAAATAAGGCTCAAGACCCAAACTTAAGGTTTCTCATTCTGTTGCCGTCACGTCGTGACCATTACACGACCACGTTGTAGTGAATGAACGATGTGAGTTCCTTTTCTATTGTGACAACGTCGTGGTCACCAAAAATCTCACATTTTGAGAGTCTAAAATGATATAATTCCCAAAAGAAATGTACCTGGAATGGGTGTTACAATATTTCTCACGTTTTACCTTAGATAAGAGGCAAATCACTTATTTTATTTTTAATGTTAACCTAAAAACGAAAAAGATAAATATTATGTCATAAAACAACCAGTAATTTCTTTAAAAAAAACTAGATATGTGGGTTAATGTGAAAGGTAACTGAAAATGAAGGGTTTTTCTGCATATAAACAAAATGTAAGGATTTTTCTAAAAGTTAGAAGATAAATAATTGTGATTTTCTGCATTTTACGCAAAGAAAAAAGAGTAAATTATAGGAATGGTTTATGTGGTTTAGGGTAGCCTAAATGTTTGTTTTTATTTTTTTTTTTAAACTCTGACCATTGATGTGGTTTGGTTTTGATGTGAGTTTTGTTCTGTTAGATCGAAAACGACTAATTATCATTACTGAATTTTTTAACTATATTATTATTATTTTTTACAAGAAATTTATAAATATTCATGTGGGTCCCATAACAAGCCTACTCAACATACCCAATCCTAACCTTCAATTTCATATTCAAACTTTTAAGAATACGCTTTCGTACAGAGAAATGGAATTACAATAGATAATGAAAATATTTTCTAACTATATTATTATTATTTTGTTATAGAAATTTATAAATATTCATGTGGGTCCCACAAACCCACCCATCATATGCATTCCTAACCTTTAATTTCTACGTCAAACATATATGGACACATTTGATACAGAAGAATAGAATAATCACAAAAAATGAAAATATAAAGAAAGAGAATTATGATGGGAAAGAAATTTGATTCTACAGTTTAGTAAAACAAAAAATTCAATAAAGAAATGCTTTTTAGAATTATTTCATTTGTTTGGTTGTATTAAATAATGACATAAAATGAGTTTTTTTATTATGTTTATTCATTTTTAAGCAACATTTTTTTTTATAAAAATACATTATGATGTACATCTTAATTTGTCAAAATATAAATAATCGAAACAAATAGATCGAAACATAAAGAAATATTAAAATCACACTATTTAAAAACTATGTCTAATATGTCCAATAATGGATGTGCAAAAGATCAAATTTAATATCCGTAACAACTGTAAAAGATAACTTGAAATAGCCTACTTATACTATCGAGCCATCCGCAATCATTTCCACGTAACAAATCTTTTCATTTTCAGCCATCTAAAAAAACTACCGAGTGCGAAAATGATCTTTGTTAAATATGTCAATCGCCTTCATTACTGTTTGACATTAATATTCAACATACGTTGTATATCTTCGATAACTTTATGTATCATATCGAACACTTCTTTATTTTCTTGCCTTCCTATATCGTTTATTGTCTCAGTAAGTTTATCACCAACCTCTTTTATAGTCCTTTTCATTTTTTTGCCGCTTCCTTATAATAGCTTTCTTCTTCATCAATTTTAAGCTTTTTACGTTTACTATTGTCGCTAGCAGTTGGTTGTGTCTCTTCAATGATATCTTCAGACCCTTCCACAATAAGTGAGTTTCTTTGTGTCTCTTGTTACATATTCTTTTCCAAGAGCAATAGCTCTATCCTTTCTAAAAATTTTACACTGGTTATCAAATTGCAAAAATGGTTAATTGCGGAAACATGCAACACCTTTATGAGTCTACAAGAAAAATACAAAATTAATTCTATTCATGTTTAACAAACATTTTTATATTTATTTTACAAAAAATGTTTATGAAAAGATTTACAAAAATAATAATTGTACAACCTTATATGGGTTATATATTTAAATATTTGTGTTAAAAAAATAATAATTATATAACCTCATCTATATTAAAAGAATAAAAAATAAGGAATATATGATTGTAAATGAATTAAGTTACGAACTATGATTACAACGACCATGAAATCTTTAACAAATATAAACAAACAAAACGTAAAAAAGAATTAAAATATATTCAAACAAAACATCAAAAAAACTTAGAAAAATATAATCGAAAAAAACATTAGTTAATGTATTCGAACAAAACATCAAAAATATTAGAAAAAAATTATTCAAACAAAACATCAAAACATGTAAGCGAAAATATTAAAAAAACATTAAACAATTCATATAAACAAAACGCCAAAAAAATTAAAATGTAAAAAATATAAATAAAGTAATTAAAAATGATAATAAATAATAGACAAAATTACATAAATGGTCCTTATGACATGAACAAATTACATAAATGGTTACATGAGACTTAATTAGAAAACTTAACACCGTTAGAAAAGTATACTCGACGTCGTTCATTACAACCCTACTGATCTCGATTTGTCCCCAACTAAATCAAAGCCACCGCCGCCATAGTTATGGTTTGCAGAACGGAGTTAGGGTTTGCAAAATGAAAACGATGACGACAATGTTAGGGTTAGGGTTCAACGATTGATTTTCTCTCGCTCCTTCTCAATCAAAAAATTCATTTGTCCACTATTTCTTCACAATCGATACCACTCAATGAGAAATCCAACCCGTCCGTTGCTTTGCTAGGATCTTTTTTCGGTGAACATCTCCAACATAATCACACCTAAATTGTACACGTCGATTTTCTTGTTTGATTTCTTTATCTTTGAAATCGATTCATATGTATGGGTAAAGATGATGAACATAGGATCCAAGTTGATTGAAATCAACATATTGAGCCACACCGACATCGACTAATTGATTGAAAGAGTCAAATAGGTCAGGTTGATAGAAGACGTATTGTGTAGCTACAATTTCTAGAGTTTCTTCATGTTGATGTTGGTGGTGGGGTTTGGGGTGGATAATTGGAGGTGAGTCTTGTTGGGATATATGGGGGTATAAATTGAAATATATGATATGGTTGAGGATGGAGGGAGATATGGAAAGTTTGGACTGAATCACATCGTTTTGGGACTTCTCCTTTTTGATCTTCTAGTTTATTGTGGTTGGGTAAGTTGTTAGTGAAGGGAATGGTTTCAATCACGAGATTCAGGAAGACGAAGAGGACAGTGGGAGTGAATGTGGAGATTTGGGAAGTCTAAAAGAGTGGGATGGACTGATGGAGGATGAATGAGTTCATATGGCTATGTTTATTTGTGTATGAAACGGGAGATAAAGAGAGTGGGAGAGAGAGAGAGATAGCCCTACCGGTGTGTAAAATTTAATTCTACTTCATAAAAAAAACAAAAAATTCATTAACGGTGTATTGGTAATTTCACATAGGTTTAACTAGACAATTTTAACAGAGTTAATTAAAAGGACCATTATTGGGATAAATTTAAAACTAAAAAGAGGACATTTGTATACAAAGTTTGCTCTATAAGGACCATCCATACAAAAAGAGTTTCATAAGGACCATTTTAGGGACAAACTGAAAACCTTAAGGACGATTTGTGAAATTTTGTCTAAAAATAAGATGAAATAAAGAATAAGAAAAAGTTAAATGACAAAATCTCAAATATGGTCCTTAAGCTTTTAAGTTTGTCCCTAAAATAGTCCCTACACAACCTTTTTTGCATAGATGGTCCCTACAAAGCAAACATTGCACACAAATGGTCCTTATCGTGAATGTCAGTTAGATTGATCCGTTAAATTGAAAGAACTTTGTATAAGGACAATTTCTGTGATTTTGTGATACTTGCCTAAGGACCATTTGTGAAATATTATCCAAGGACCATTTGTCTATTTTAAATAAGTTTGTTAAATCTTGTATTAATTACCATAAATCAAATAAAAACCCCATTAAAAACAAAAACATAGAAAACGTAATATTTATATAGATAAAAAATTAAAACTTACAAATTTTAATTATCATGCAAATATATATTATATAATTAATAAAAAACTTTTGTTGTATAGATTTTATCTAAAATATTCAAACTACAATGTATCATTGAATATTTTCGTTTTCTACTTTTTATCTAAAAATATTTGAAGTATAAAACATCATTTTATTACTTTTTAATTTTTACATGATGTAATTTTTAAAATTTATCTTTATTTTTCTTATACAAATATATTTAATTTTATGAAAAAATATGATGTGTTATTATAAAATAATACAAAATAATAGTACTGCTATTTTCTTTTAGAAATATAAGTATGCATTTTTGAGTAAAATATTAAAATATGTTTAGGTTTTTGTTTTCATAATATAAGTACGATAAATTTTATATTGATTAGATATAAATTTTTGATATTAAGTTTTAAAAAATTATTTAGTTTTATCAAATTTTGAATATATACCTTAATAAATACATAAACATTTCAAAGAAAAATAAAAAAAACATTTGTTTTCTAATAATTAACCACGTTCCTACATATGCTAAAATAACTAACCATATGAATAATATGACATTAGTTCCTGTTTAATTCATTTTATTTGATGGAGGTAAAAATATTTTATATGTTTAAAAAATTCGTGTTTCAGAGAGAGAGAGAGAGAGAGAGAGAGAGAGAGAGAGAGAGAGAGAGCCACCATTGCCATCGCCACCGCCACCGCCACCACTTCTTCCGATACCAACTACCACTACCAACACCACCAACAAATCACCACCGTCGCCACCGTTGGCCTCCACCATCGTCAGCATAATTGCTACCAACAACCAACACCGTCGCCACCGTTGGCCTCCACCATCGTCAACATAATCGCCACCAACATCCGCCATCCACCTGCCCGTACCACTACCGCCACCACCATCAACACCTCTGCCACCTTTACCACAACCATTTCCGCCAACGCTACCACCACCACCATCACCACCGCTAACCCTGCTACCATCACCAATTAGTATAAGCATATATTAATAATTACTTGTGAATAGACACATATGAATAATCATATGTGAATTTCTACGTAATATTCATATATGAATATATATACTTATTCATATATAAATATTATCTTTTCTGTCGTCCCGATACACTCGAGCGCTTAAACGGCAAATGATGAAAAGTATGGCCCAAATTAATTCTTGCATTATCAATGTTTTTCTTCCTTAATTGGACATTCCTCTCTCACACACACACTCTCTCTCTCTCTCTCTCTCTCTCTATATATATATATATATATATATATATATATATATATATATATATATATATATATATATATATATTACGTAACGTTATTAATTTAGACCTTATTTGGTAAAAACTAGTAAAGAACCCGCGGCTATGCCGCTTTTGGGGTAATATGGAAAAAATCGGCAAACTTTAAAAGATATGTGCTGAAATTGTAAATCACCATAAATAGGGAAGAAAGTCGACAACTCCTAAAATTAGATATCAAAAGTGTACAACGAAAAAAAAGGACACTGGTGGAGAAAATCCAAAATGTTGTGGCAATAATATTAAAGTTATTAACGTTGGGAAAATATGTTGGCAAAATTTTAAAGGAGGTTTTTTTGTGTTTTTTATGTCAAAATATAAAACTTTTGACTACAAGGACAAAAAGTGTCAAATTCATTAAAGAATTGTGGCAAAAATACCAAAATATAATACCTTTGAATATAAGGACTAAAAGTGTCAAAGTCATTAAAGATTTGTGGCAAAAACCTTAAGGCACAAAAACTTAATCAAAAGGCAAAAATGTAAATTTTTTGACTTTAGGGACTAAAAGTGTCAAGTTCAGCAAACTTATGTGGTAAAATCCTAAAGGCTAAAAGAATACTATTCCTAAGCTCCTTTGGATTTAATATATATATATATATATATATATATATATATATATATATATATATATATATATATATATATATATATATATATATATATATAATAAGTTAGTTTCTAAAGTTATTGTAATTTAATATTTAACTAGATTGGTAACCCCCGCTTCGCGGGGGCAGAGGGACCAGATGTGTTCCTATGATATCGGTTGTAACCTTTGTTCAAGATATTTCGTATCTATTTAAGAATCTGTTAATAGAGCAGATAATTATATTAGGGAATAAGGATCAAAAAATATCATTCATTAGAATTAGTGGTAACAGATAAATATATTAGGTGATAAGGATCAAAAGATATCATTCATTAGTTGATATTCGATTACAAAAGTGTCCATTCATTAAGGGATGACTACTGGACATTTGATTACAAAAGAGTTGGTGTGGTATGCTTCGTCATGGGGCTTGGTGGCCGTGAATGATTTTCTTGCAGATGTCTGTTGCTGCACTCATGTTCTCCTGCATCGCTTGGAACATGTCGAGCATGAGCACGGTGTCTTGGTCGAGGTTGTTGATGAAGGATTCGGTGATGACAACGTGCCTGTATGGCATTTCCACTGGAGCTTCTTTTATCATATTCTGCCTTGCTTCGTTGATGTTGGTGTATGTGTTTTGGACCATGGCCAATGATTCCTTCATTGTCTCCAGCTGGTTTTGCAGAAAGAACCACACTGCCAGCTCTACAGCAATGAGTGTACCTTGCATGAGCAGCTGTAGAAATATTAAGAGCCCTCTCCACATACCAGAAAAACGCACCACAATACTCACATATCCAACTACAATCACCACAATCAACGTACTGGGGAAGCACAGAGAGTCCATCAAGACGCCGCCACTTCCGTCGACCACCAATAGGAACAACAGCAGACGACGAAGCACCGTCATCACGGGTCCGCTTCGACGGAACCGACATGACATAGATACACGACGACACAACGGAAATAAAGCAAGCAAAAAAACTACAATAGAGGAAAGATAAGAAGAACAAAAGACTAATTTTACCTTACAGAAACGAAGAGTGAGGTCGAGAAACGAAAGCAGATGACCACCAAGAAAGAGCAAAAGGAAGTTCAGCAATTGAAAACCAAATTAACACGAAGAAGACACATGCAAATCGGTAGAAATTGACACGTAACTGGGAACACATTAAAAAAACAATAAATTGACCACTCTTCACCGATTACGAAGAACATAAAGAAGAGAGTCGATGCAGGAAGAAAATAAGAAAAGTGACTAAAGTGGGAAATTAAGCAAAATAGAGGGACACAAAGTTAATATAACTTGAGGGACCGCTTTTGACAAAATAAGGGAACGAATACTGTTACAATCTTTCATAATGTATTTTGGTTTTTTGGTAATGAAATTAGAAGAAATTGCAAAAAAAAAGGGAAAAAATAGTTATAAATGCAAACTGCATTGCTATTTAGTGCATTTTACCCCTAAAAATGGAAAATACACCTAATGGCAATGTAGTTGGGTTTTTGGAAAACAAAAATCAAAAGAAATAATACGAATAGCAGGGAAAGAAACGTTTAAATTCAAAGTACACTATCATTCACTACACTTACCATCTAAATATGGAAAATGCACCAAAATGGCAAAGAAACAATAAAATCGAGATATTTGAGCCCAACTTTAGCTCATATGAAATATTACAAAAAAAATAAAGAAAAAAAAAACTGATTATGATACTCTAATGAAGACAAAAATCATTTATTTATATTTTTCTTCCCAAAAAATAAAGAAAATGATACTTACAGATACATCTTAAGACTTGTAGTGTGTGTCAGTTTCTAAAATAGTGGACCGGGAGTCTGCCAAAAAATTAAAAAAAAAAAACATGTTTAAAATGGGATTTATGTCGTAATTTGGCAACCAAAAAGAAAAGTATTTAGTTTAAAATGAAAATATTAGGAAATCATAATATTTGGAAAGGAAAATGATAATAATCATGAAGAAAAATAGAATATAACCTCAAGAATTAATTAAATCTTCTTTATACCGGTCGAATTATAGTTGTGGTGATTGCATGCCAACTGTACCAGCATAAAATTGCATCGACAACATAAAACGCAACATGTATGAGATCATATATTCCTGAAATAATCATAGAAATGCAGTAAGAATATAGATGCTCTGTTGCGGCCCTTGGTCAGATGAAGAAGAGGTACACCAGCCTTACAATTCTTAGCTTCTTCGCAGTTGCCCATACTCGAACAACCAACTAAATCATTATGGCAAACCCTCCCTTCCCTTGCAACTGCTTCAAAATCTAACATGATTGCCACAGGAGCAGTTGTTGACACCAGAATATTAGACGATAGATTTCTCATCCAACACGCTAGATCACAAATTGGCTGGTAAAAACAAACCTTTTAAGGATAAGAAAACAAACTTGTTAAATTTTCAGAAAAACTGACACAGATACTTGGGAAAAAATAGCATACATCTATAAAAACTTTCTTGCTTCTTGCTTTCAAAAGACTGTTTGAGGGAGGTGGGGGGGTCAATTTCAAAGAGGAACATATTAACAAAAAAAATAAAAAATAAAAAAAAAGATTTTGGTCCTATATTTTCCTGTCAAATGGACCATTTCCCTTAACTACAGACCTGAAAGCCTTCAATGAAGTCAAAATACCATGAATACTTATGTTATCTGTTACCATTGGCAACAGATGTGTGAAAATGTTTTATCGATGATATAACATTTTAATAAATTCCTAGTACCAATCATATAAGTTGAAAATAAGTCTTATACCCCTTACAATTATATGGGGGAAGCGTAATATCAGGTTAGGGTAATAGCATTTTTTGTGACCTGCTCAAAATCAACTTTTTTTTTGTTTATGTTAATGACAATCTTCGCCCATATATTATCGAATACCTGCAGAAATGGTAGACGGTCCCTATATTATTAGTTATAACTTATAAATGTCCACAAATGCAAGACTCAACAGAAAATGATTTTTAAGATTAAGAAAGAAGCAATATGTTACCTGAAAAGTATGAAAAGTAAGAAAAAGATGAAGCTTCTGCAGTTGTGCTTCACTGTTATATGTTTTTAAACTTGAAACCTAACTAAATTGTTTAAAAAATATGCTAACATTGAATAAAACGGAATAAAAATTCAAATTTTATAATAAAATGAAAAAAGTGGAGTAAACATTTACCTTCATGCATCGACAATCACCAACAACCCCTTCAAATTGGGTGATGGAGAAATCAATCGTTCATTGTGGGGAAATCATCAACAAAGGCCATGTCACAATTAGAAAAATTAACTTCAGTAAAATGGATGTCGATGTACGAAAGAGCAAAACGATGCAGTAGAAATTCCATGAAATCTTAGATCGAGGAAGCGATGTTATTTTGATGATACCTTGCGGAAGAACTGGCAGGTGAAGGTTGACAAAAGAGAACTCGGAGGTCTTTCAGATTCTTGGATAATTGTCCGATCCATGCCATTTTCAATCTCCGGTTTAACTGGAAACAGTGGTTGCGTCGCAAGAGTAGATTTTGTGTATACCTTTGTTTAAGTGAGCAGCTTTATCAAAAGCACAAAGTAGCATGTTGAATTGAATTGAGATAATCTAGTAAAGGAAGATAAACAATGTCATCTAATTACATAAGTAAAGAAATCTAAATAATTATTTCTTACAATAAATGAGGAAAATAAAGAAATGGTGTCACAAATTGAACTTTATTTCCATGTATGGCAGCGGCCGGAAAACCAATCCGGAAAATATAGACCATTGCTTTTTGTCCGTTAATGTGAGGGTAATTTGGTCTTTTCAGGTAGTAGGGACTGAATTTGTGACCACGGGTAAACCATATGGACCATTTATGTAATTTTGGCGGTGGCGGTGGTCGTGATGGCAGATGATGGGTGGCTTTATGGTATTGGGCTAATAATGATATTAGTAATGTCAATTGACACCCAAGAGTCTCTATTCTTTTTCTGGTCAGATGTAGAAACATCAACACACCCTACTTCATAGGAATCTTGGGACGTACAGCTCCTTGTCATTGTTATGACATTACAAATTTACCTCTTGTTTTCCATATGAATGTCCCACCAGCCACTGACACCCGCATTTGTTTACAAAAAAACAATTGGTTCATTTATTTGTGCATATTACACCATTCTACTTTAAAAAATCTACCTTATAAAATTTACACTCATATAAATTGGTAGATTTTTCAAAATATCCAAAGCAAGGGTATGTGGGGGCTGTAGTCTAGCATACCCTTCCCCACAAATTTTTTTTAACCAAAGTTAACCTTAGTGTGAAATCTACAATACAAATGATTTGTTAATAACTTGTATGAATTTATTTAAAACACCTAGTAAATCAGCAATTTACTTTGGGTTCCGCATCTTCTACTACATATTCATCTTCAATATCAGCATCATCGTTAAATTCCTCTAAATTGCATGATAAGATGAGAAAAGAATGAAATGATGCCTCAATACGAAAAAGAATAAAACTATAGTATTATAATAGAAACAATGAAAGTAAGATGCTATTATAGTAGAGACAATGAAAGTAAGATGCCGAATAACTACATGTTTTGAAATTTGAACTACAATCACTATAAGTTAATCAAAAGCCAAATTCAATGAAATACGTTTCATATTTTTAAGTAGATCAACTTCTTTTGGTTTGCAATAACTTACTTGTAATCATGCCTGCCCATCAAATTGGTTCTCGTAGGTAAGTGTAACCTCTATGTCCTAAATATTGTGGAGATTAGGGTTAGTTAAATGCATGAAAGAGCAATGTAGTTTCTTTGAGTTGCTTATCGTAGTCATATAAATATACCTCAAAATATCATTCACCAAAGTTGCCATCTTAAGTATTTCTAAGGGTTAGTAGTCTCCATATTACTTCCCTCTGCAATAACAAATTTTATGACAGAATTAGATATGGAATATAACAAATTTGCATTTGAAAATTTGTACGATAAAAGAGGCTGAGCTAAAACTGTTTTTCAATATATATATATATATATATATATATATATATATATATATATATATATATATATATATATATATATATATTAAAAATCTGAAGCAGACTCTAACTACTTATGGGAACCGTAAAAAGAATAAGCATCTTAAATTCACAAAACACCACTTTCATGACAGCTATATAACTAATTCATATGTACACGCGTCGTTAATTTCTTCTTCTGTTATTGGCGCTATATTTTTGCACTATTGTCCACCATAATAAGAAATGGAAATTAAAAAGCAATACTTCTTCATTTGAGGAAGCTACAAAAGGTTTAGCTTATTGTAGGTAACTATAAACTTTATCACTTCTTAGCTACACACAAATTTTATTCAGCATGTAAAAATGAAAATCCAACATTAATTAATTAATAAAATCATATATCATAGTCAACAAATGTATCTATATTTTATTTTTGTTGTTAGAATTATTTTTGTGTTCAATAGTAAAGTATCTTGTAATAATTATAAACTCATAATATGTTTTTATTTTTAGTATTTATTTTGCAAAGAGCATGTAAATGTTGATGTTGATGGTGTATTGAAGATATTATTTTTTCAATATTTTGAGATTGAAAACATTTTTTCAGTTTTGCAAGCAATTATTGTTATATTAGGGAGCGGGTTCAAGCATTCAACAGATCAACATATGTTTTCTTATTTTTTACACATCTTTAATTTATGTTTACTCCTCTTACTTTGAGTTATGTTTATTATAGACTTAAGTGTCGATATTTATAGGAAAAGATTTGAGTGAAGTAAAATATAGATGTTTGCTATTTGGATTTAACAGAAATTTAATCCAATTAAACAGAAAACTGATTAAACCGAACCTTATTCGGTTCGGTTTTGGTTAATAACCAAAAAACAATAATATACAAAAATTTCTTGAGATGTATTAAATAAAGGATGTTCATTGGTAGTACACAAAACACCCTGGATAGAAGTTCTTTGTAGTTAAAGAACTTCAACATATTTCAAAATTGTCATATATGGTTTAGAAGTTACCTTCACATGTTAGCCAAAAAATAAAATCAGAAGTTGGCCTTGACCTCAATGTGCACCTGTAATGGTTAAAGGGAAGAGGAATATCAACAATTTGAAGAATATCCCCATCTTTATGTTTGCATGTAGTATATTCAAGTATTCAATCCTTGTCAATCAGTGTTTTCTTACAGTCGATGGTAACACCAAAAGAGGTCGTTGGAACCCATTGAAGCTCGAATACCCGCATGATTTCATACACATCACCACTTGAGTCATAAATTGAGTTAGAAAATGTAACTGAAATTGGATTTGAAATAAAAACCGACACAATAGTTTGTTTACTAAAAGGTTGTTTACTAATTCTCATTCTAATCACCCGAATACAGTATCGTCAATCTTTGGACTTTCTATAACTCTTCTTGTTATTCAAACTATCTGATTATACACAAATGACGTATCTTGAATTTTAAAACCCTTGACCAGAAGCTCTTCCTTGTCCTCAATATCGAGCAATCGAAACATTTAAAAAATCTAATTTAAAATATAAAATTATTAAGTATACCATCCCACCTAAATTGAGAATTGAATAGCATGATCAACCGATAACCAAAAGCAAGCTGTACGGTTGCAAGTTTTGGCACCGCGCTCCGTCAATGTCTATTTTCCATGTAAAGGTGAAGGAGACGTATGGGTTCGTCCTGACCTTGAGGAAGTATCGATGAGGTTGGTTTCATGGATTTGAGAGGCAATAAAGTGACGGTGAGTGGCGGCAACAGGAGTCTATCCAGTAGTTGAGGCGGTGGAATAACTCTGAAATTCGATCCAAGTCTTGCATTTTAGAACATAATAGAATCAGGAAGAAGGCAGAGAAGAATGAATGATAAAATGGGATGCATACATCCAACTTCCTACAAAAGAGAAAACAGAGTTTAAATATAATCAAAAACCAAATACTAATCGTTCATTTTTAGGTTGTATTATGATGGCAGAAACTTAACCAAATAAAGTCACTAAATTGAAACTAACCATTTAACTAATAAATAGCCAGACCATTCTATTCAAGTACTTGCACGGATGTTGATCATCATGAACAGTAAATAAAGATTATAGGGAAGACCTTCCCTGATACATTAACATATTACATATACAATACCAAAAGTCAAAACACATTAATGAAGGAAATATTTGAATGATATAAGAATCAATACTCACCTAAAACACCAGCACACACTTGTATGGATCCGACCTTTTCCAAAATCTGATTCACATACTGGTCCCTACCAATGAAAAATGTAAAAAAAAACCTAAAATTTCAGTGTTGGATTCTAAGCATTTTAACAAACAGTTGGCGGGTATAGGAAGTAACCAAAGTTAATTTACCTCAGCAAGCCGTAGGAATCTTCTTTGGGTTCGAAATTACAAAAAATATGTTGTCTTCTTTCTGTGGCTGTGAAATATAAACAAAGACAAAGAATCGTAGGTATGTGCATCTGATAACGCAAAGAAAAGAAAGAGATAAAGACAAAGCACGAAACCTAAAAGAGGATAAGTTAAAGCGGAGCAACCCAATACAAACCTAAACCACGGGAAATACGACAAAATAGAAGAACATAAAACAAAGAAAAGAAGAAAGTCGGAAGAAGACCTACGAAGATGGTTGCCGTCGACGCCGCCAGCTGCGTCGCACGCCCTTGAATGATGGCACAATTTTGTTTCGTCCTGCTTCAGTTCAATCGACTGCACAGAAAAGGAAACTAATTTTAGAAGGCATATTATTTGGAAATTAAATGGTAGATGGAGAAAGGCGTCGACAAAATTGAAGCAGGTGTGGAGGGGATCGTGTATGGCACCGATTGATGTTTTTGCGGGTTCATCTGGGTCAACCACGACGGGACCAACAGTTTTTCCCACCTCCCCTTCGCGATCCGCTACCGGAGCAGCCACTTTCTTCCATCACAGTTGACGAAAGCTCCTGCTGAAGCCTTCGGAAGCAGCAATGGACAACGGATGGCTGAAGATATTTGATAAGGATGCGGTCGGAAGGATCGAGATATAAGAATCTAAATATTTCCATAAAATGCCCAGTAAAACTGTGACGAACGTATGTTTATAGTTCAGGGACCATTTATGCCAACATCTTAGGAACTTTACTGCTCCTTTTCTTCATAACTT